AGATTATACCTAGTATTTAATTATTTACTTTAGTTACAAGATTATAAATCTCTTTTATAACTAGAGGATATGGTTTCTTTTAACCTTTATAAAAGTATTTATAAATCTATTTAGTTAACTTCTTACTTATCTCTTTAATTAAATAAATATTTAAAATAGTTTTAAATATTATAATACATTCTAGTATAAATCTTCTTAAATTAAAGTAAGATATAATATTAATATTTCTATAATATACGAAAAGATTATTTATTATATTATATATTCTTATATTAGATATAAATATATAAAACTCTATAATCTAAGAACTATTATAAAGTATATACATATACATAGCCTTTATTAGGTAGAGTAGATACCTAGGTTAACTAACTATTTATATAAGTATAATATTTATTTACTTAGTAGACTATATCTACTTTTATAAGTATAGAGAACTTATAGGTTTAATTAGGATTAATAAAAAATTGATTTAACCTAAAACAAGGATAGTAGTAGAAATAAAGCTACTTCTATTAATAATCTAATAAATATTATAAGTAAAAGTATAAGTAAATAACTAGAGCTAGAAATTCCTTATAGAAATAAAAGAAATAATAGAATTACTAGAAACGTAAGAAATAAAAGAAATAATAGAATTACTAAAGATAAAAGAAATAAAGAGAATAGAGAGAATAAGAAATAAAGAGAATAGAGAGAATAAGAAAAATAAAGTAAGAAAAGAGAATAGAAGAATTAGAAATAATAAAAAACTAAAAGATTTAAATAAACTACTTTTACTATTAGATATAAGTATTAGTAATCTCTATTAGAAAATTAGAAAATTATTAACTATATTTTTTGAGTAGGATACAAAATATTAATACTAGTTATAAATCTAATAAAGTGTCACGAATCACGTGTTAGCACGTGAGAAGTGAAAACCAGGCGGCGTCCTGACAGTTCAGGTACTATTGAGCACTCTTATAGCAAATGGGATCGCTTGGGCTAGCTAAGCGATCTAGGGATTTCCTTTGGTTGGTATCACGTGACAATTTGGGTCGCCTGGAGCGACGAGCGCTCCAGTCGTCTAGGTCGACTCGGTAGACGAGCGACCCTGGCGATCCAACAGTTAGGACAAGGCAACAAAGGTTCTATATAACACTGGCACGTCTGCCATTAGATAGGAGCTTCGTGCTCAACTTAGTTTAGCAATCTAGTTATTAAGTTATTACTTCTTTGTTAACAAGTGACGAGTTTGCCTCCGAGTAAACAGCCCGGCGCACCTGTACTTCTTACCCGCATACCAACCGTCGAAACGATTACCTTTGTCAGATAGTTTGAGTTTCGTCACACTAATAGTCTAGAACATTAGGCTTACTTTTATATATTACCCCTAGTACAAGAGTTAATTTTAGAGAAGTAACCTCTTAGTTTAAATAGGAAATACTTTATTCTAGATATATAACATACTAGGGGTTTAACTTTAAATATAATAAAGTTAGTATAGTCTTTATATTAAGATAAGATTACTAATAATAAGTAGAAGCTTATTTTAAATAAGAATATTATTATATTTAAGAAACTTTAATTATAGTAAAAGTAGTTTATAAAAAGTAAGTATTCTTAATATAAATCTAGTAATAATTAAAATAATAGTTAGGTTATATAGTCCTAAGAAGGTAATAGTAAAATGAAGAATATAAAGTATAAATTAGATAGGTTCTTTAGTATATTATTATTTCTAAAGGAGAAGTTTAAGCTAGTAATAAACTAATTTAGGCATTTATTTAATAACCTAAGACTTAGTATTATAAAGATTTATATATATTTATTAAAAAAAAGGGATTTCTAAGATATATAGAAATTATTAAAGTATTAAAGATTTAGTATATTATTAGAAAGATAAAGGCTATAGAAGATAATAAGCTTATAGTTTATTTTATTATTAGTAAATAAGATATTATTAAAAATAAGTTATCTTTACTAATTAATACTTTTTTAGATAAGTATATATAAACTTAAATATAAGTAGAACTACTATTAACCTAATATAAATCATAATAAATAAAGACTTTTAATTTCTACTAAGGTTCTACTAACAATAAATAGCTTTAAGCTTTACTTATATCTATTTTTTTTAAAAAAAAGAGAGAAGTAAATATAGAAATAAATAAAAACGTAAGTAGAAAGAACTTAAATAGTTACTAGCTAATAAAAGAGTATTAGATAAAGAAGTAGAGTAAACTTAGATATTTATAGCTAATAAAAGAGCGTTAGATAAAGAAGTAAGTAAAGTTGAACTTAGATAGTTACTAGCTAATATAACTTTAGACTATAAGAGTATTTATAGTTCTATATCTCTTAACTTTAATTCTTAGGAATAGAAACTTTTATCTCTAGTTTAGTAAGAGAGCTACTATTTATCTACTATTTATCTAATATTTACTCCTTAAAATATACGCTTCTGCTAAAGGTAGCGTTTCTCTTAGTACTTTAGTATCTTATCTTATTAACTATATAAAAACTTCTAAAGAAGGTTACATTCTTTTTATAAAGGAATAGTATCTAACTCTTATAAGGGAATAAAGTTAGGATACTCTTAAGGTATATAAGCTAAGTTTATAGTAGTATAACTCAAGGTTATTATACTTAATATAGATCATAGCCTATATAACACTTTTTAATTATAGGATAGTAATTAAGACTACTTTCTTATAGTTAGTATATTTATACTATATGTTAGTTAACTAATATAATTCCTTCTATTTAGTAAGAAAGGTAATAGTTAACTTAACCTTTAGAATAAGGTATACTTTTTTATAACTAAAGAGATTATCAATATTTTAATAAAGAATAGATAAATAATATTTACTATTATTTCTATACTTATTATTAAAATAAGTAATATATATTTACTTAGTAGCTACTAGGTAGAGCTTTATAATTCGATTATACAATAAAGTATATAGTATTTTTAGAGTAAGAGTCTATTACTTTTAATAGTACTATTTTATTATATAAGTACGTAGTTTAATAGAAAGGAGATATAGTACTTAGTAAGAGATTTATTTTTAATCTATATTTAAGTATATAAATAGTTATAATATATAATTATAAGGTTTTTATACATTTTAATTATTATATAAAGTAGATTATAGAGATTTTTTTTCGTAATACCTTTAAATAAGAGTACCTAAATTAAGTATTTTTAGCTATTTTATATATGTATTAGGTATTCCTATACTATATAGGGCAGTAAGTTAGAGTACCTAAATCAGGTGTTTTGGGAGTACCTGATTCAGGTATTTTACTCCCACTGGGATGGCCCATTCGACCGTATTGCGGCTCAATATCGTCTCGGGAAACAGGCTCTTACACTCCCTGATTAGTTAGGTATCTTACACTAGTTGACTTTTTGAAACACATTATTTCCTGCGAGTGCTAATTCTCCACGACAGCGATGGGATAATTTGTTTCGGTAAATTTGATTGGAATCAGCTGTCTACATAGCTATCTATCAACCAGTAGAGAATGATCACTTGTTGGCCCAGCGCTCAAAACACGCACTTTCTCTGTTGGAAGTTCGCATTGTAAAGTATCCCCGCACCCTGGAATAAATTTTGAGGATCTCTTTATTTAATTAAGCGGTTATACTGTAACTAGTAACGCAAGCCTAATAATAATTGCAACAGATGTCGTGCACATGAACAGTGGTTTTTTCAGCAGTCTCCACCTATGATCAAAGCCTCTCATCATCTCTTCACGAACCGCAACTTGACACTCGTTCTGTCCTCTGTCTTACGTATGCGAGCACACGTATTGAGGCCACCCGGAATCTTTCGATCGAATTAGAACAACGTAAGCAGCTCCGAATTTTTAGATGAGAACCTTTTGTGATAGCCGCGCTCTCCATGATAGCGCTTTTACTTTTGCGGTTTCTGCGGATGGATTTGCTGACCGGTGAAGTACACGTAAGGTTAAGTTCGGATGAAGCGAAGCTTCGTTTACGAAGTGTAATCAAGCCTCGGGAACAGGATAGGTTAATCCCGGCCATAAGGCACTAATGGTTCGCCCAGCATCTACCGTACTATACTTTCTCCTAGGCGTAACAAACGTAAAAGCTTAGTACAGATAAACCTGAATGTCGGTACACCTGGTACTCCGAAGGGGTAGTTATAAGGGTTTGAAGCAATCAGTCCTTGTTCGGTGTCTAATTGCTTAAGGAAGCAAAGGTAGCTAGCTAGACTACAAACGCTTATATGCCAGTGCCGGGTCATGTGAGTAAATAGAACTGACTGTACCAACACTGAATATAAGGGACAACCTCGGTTATATCCTTACGAAACTTGCCCCCACGAACATCCTTATATCCAGGTTTATCTGTAGAGATTTCACCCTGTATTCCACTGTAATATCGCATGTGAATCTTGTTATCTTTACGTTTGTTACTACGCCTGGGATGAAAAAAAAACGTCGAAGTCCCAGAAGGTCCACCTATTCTACCCCTCAAGCAAACGTCATATAGTTCAGATTCTATAGTAGACGCGCCCCCGGTCTGAGCAAGAAAGCTAGATTTGCTGAACATGTTTTCCCGTTGTTATACCGTATGCGAGAAGAGGGGTTTGTTACTGTATATTGATCGGATAAACGGCCGCCGGTTTGAGGTAAATTAATATCGTCCTGCACCAAAAAGAGCCTCGTCTGAAATACATAACTCAAAATTCGCTAAGTCGTCTACGTAAAGAGGAGTAAGAACACACACTGTGGCGCTTCTGTGATATGATGAGTGATTTCACGTCTTTGACTCAGCCTCACAAGCATGGATTCCAGAGCTAGTTTTTATATGTCTTTTAGCTACTAGGAAACACTTAGTTTTGGGTGTTTACATTTCCATTTTCCATAACCTCTCATGCTGTTCTTACACGGTTTACTAGTAATCATGGCCTTGTAGAGAAGCAAGGAATCAAGAGTTCGTTTATACTATTTCCAGTATACTCAGCATTCATTCAAAAATAGCATCAATTCGTCCCCAACGGTAACTCTACTTCCTCCTCGCCGTCCCCGTACTCAGTTCCCGCACCATCAAAATTCTTTTTTACAGCCTTCATCCCACTCCCTGTAATCTCAAATTCGACAGCTCCTCCCAGGCCAGACCCAGTCTCACTGACGTGAGGCGCGAATACGACTTTCATCCACCTCCTCCATCTCTTCAAAGTCGGCCCACTATCTTCATCTTCAACTACAACTTTCCTCCCATAAACGGGCCTTTTAATCAATGCTACACGACAAGCAATTTGGGTGGTCCATATGAGGCCTAGTGCCGGGGTTTTCATATTCTTGGAGATCACTGAGTATGGAGAAGTATCATCACCCCAGCCTGTAAACCATCTTTGCTGGTGATCCAGAGAAAGGGGATCTGGAGTTGTCGAAAATGGTCTTTGTGAAGGAACTGGAATCCCGCTAGAATCAGGCGGTGCAGCAATGGAAGAAGCAGGTCCACTTCTTCTTGCAAGTGGACTGCTCTGTGTAGCATTTCTTTCGATTCTTGGTGTACCTCCGCCCGTGCTGCTTCCTCCACCCCCATAAGCGGAAAATCGATCGGCGACTTGGTTAGCGACCACCACAGCTATATTGTGTTCCCTTGCAAGATCTCGAAGTAATTGTCCTAGTTTTACCAGATCTGAAGATCTTTGCGCCATGTTTGCTCCATGTGTTTGTATTCCACTCGCGCCTGGTCTCTCAAGTTCCGCGCGGTAGTTTGCAGCTACCGAATCGAGAATTATGAGTCGAATAGAACGCGCTCGTGTCTGTACAGGGACGTGAAAACGGAGGATGTGATCTTGGGCTTCGAGGTCGGAAACTACTATACAGTGTATGGAATCCAATGTTGGTCTCGGTGTTATAGAAGAGATGGAAGGGTGGCTACGAAGAAGCTGAGAGAGTCGTGTGGTCGGGAGGGCAGATTCGGTGGATATATAGAGGGTTGTGCACGAGAGTCCGCAAGGAGCTGGAAGTTGGGCGGAAAGGAGGAGAGTAAGAAGGAATTGGGTTTTACCTGCGCCGCTAACAACACTGTGAGTTTTTACTTCGAGTATTTAAGGAGCAGAGGATACCTTTCGCCAGTGACTTCTGTGATATAACCGGTTGGAATCCCGCCTCCTAATGCGCGGTCCAGATCATCATCCAGTGTACTGATTGTACTCCACTTCTGCAATAGGTCATTGCCTGTTTTCCTCAATGATGACTCGACTTTTGGAGCTTCCTCATCTCGTGTTTCGCTGGTCCCTAGATCGACCTGTAATGCCACGAGAACGGCATTGCATAGTCTCTTCACGTCCAGCAATGGCAATTGAGCGCGTTTTGCTACCTCGACACAATCCAGGGTGATGAGGTCTGCGGTGGTGACCTTGTTCTTTTCGAGCGACGGTAGAAGGCGCACATACTGGTCGGTGGGAAATGCAGGAAGAACAGATGTAAGGTCTGTCATGGAGGCATTTCATGTGTGTGGTGTTTGCGGTGTTTGAACCAGATTTCAGAAGACGCGGGGAAGCCAGGTTGGCGTTGCCCTGACTCCTCGGCGCGTGGTCTCGTGATTCGTCAAACTAGGAATATGGATTGAAGCGTAATTTCACCTATTTCGTATTGTTATATGTTAGATGTAGGTACCTACCGGTTCTAATCTACCGGTATCTTTTATACTTGATATACAGATACAATATTATTTAAGGTAGGTAGCTTTCCCCCACCCCCTCAAAGGGCTTATCTCGGAGCGTTTGATGTGACATCATGGGATATCCAATGACCACCACTCTACCCAAACCACGAGCTTCTTGAAAACAGATCTAGAGCTCTCTAATACTTTCCTCCGCGTGGATAACTCAACCAAACCATTCCAATGTCACAAGAAGACGTCAAGATGTCAAAGGCTACCAGAGATACCCTTCTCAAAGTCCGGAAGTTGGTGCCTCCAATGCTAGCCAAATTTCACAAAGGTAGCACCACTCCAGTCTGGTTGCTATCACATTGCTGATGGACAATACAAGGCCAGATGGGACGAATCGCAGTCATAGGGGGTAGCGAGGATTATACAGGAGCACCTTACTTCTCAGCAATAGCGTCCGCAAAGCTCGGCGCAGACATGGTCTTTACCCCTCTGCCCCTCCATTCCCCTATAGCCTCAGCTAACCTCTCCTTCACTCTGCAGAGCCACGTCATTTGCGAACCTCAAGCAGCACAAGTCATCAAAACTTACTCTCCCAATCTCATGGTCCATCCATTAATGCGCCAATCCACCCATGCCACCAGCGCCAACAACCACGAGAAGGCCGCAAAATCGATTATAGACATGCTTCCCCGTTTACACGTCCTAGTCATTGGGCCTGGACTAGGAAGAGACAAAATGATGCAGGATACATGCGCAATGGTGATTGAGGCAGCGAGGAAAAATAGTATGCCAATTGTGCTGGACGCAGATGGATTGAACCTCGCACAAACTCGACCGGAGTTAGTACAAGGATATAGGGAGTGTGTATTGACGCCCAATGTTGTAGAGTTCGGAAGACTGTGCAAGAGCAAAGGAATAGATCCTTCGAAATTTGAGAATGGAGTGGCTGCAGAGAAATTGGCGATCGCTTTTGGGGGGGTTACTATTGTGCAAAAAGGAAAGGAGGATTACATTTCGAATGGGGACAAGACTTATGTAAGCGATATCGAGGGGGGCCTGAAGCGAAGTGGTGGTCAAGGCGATACATTCACAGGATCACTGGGGACATTTTTGTGTTGGAGGAAGGCATATCTAGACAAATTATGGGATCATGAGGGTGATTTGGATGCTGTCGAAACTTTGGCCTTGGCTGCTTTTGGAGGAAGTGCAATCACGAGAGTGAGTTTGTTGATTGTGACTTAGTTTTCGAATACTGATATGACATAGGAATCCTCTCGACTTGCTTTTGCGAAAAAAGGAAGGAGTTTGCAGGCGAGCGATTTGACGGAAGAAGTTCATGTCGCTTTCTTGAATCTTCTTGATGAAGCTGCTCCCAAGCTGTAAAGCGTATCCCCCCTTGCCAGAGTCATTTGCATTTTCATGGGCTCAATACCAAACAGGCTTACCTCCTCCCGAGGTACAGTAGAATAAATTAATTTGATGTACCCAATCAACCCATTTTCTCCCATTTTGACTTTACTGTAGAGAATATGGGGGAAACGCAATATAGTTGAGCATGACCAACATCATATGGTCGGTAGTGAGAAGAAAACTCTATTCAAATACGATAATGTCGCAGGCGAAGCTAGCATGTATTATGTCCCATATAACACTACTTCCCCAATATTTAGCAGTGCTACGCATATCTTACTCATGCGCGCTAACACTCTGATTAATCAATAACCAGAAGCAGCTATGCACCAAAGTATCGTAAAACTCCAAGGCGAATGTGGTCGAGAAATCGAGCGACTGAGACCCAAGATCATTAGATTTTCTTGTTTTACCAACCTGTCTTCCATTGCAAAAGTTTGGAGGTAGTCGGCGTTTCCAATTGGCTGTTTTAGATGACCTCCCTTCTCAACCCCAACCAAAGCATGATGGTGGTTCAAAGCGGTTGTTGCGCGAAATGATAGCACTTAGTCAGACGTCCCGGGAAGTTGGTGTTGATATTGAGGTTGCATGTATATGCTTGAGGGCTAGGGTTGGCAATCTGCTTGTTTGACAAGGGGGTATCCAATCAGAGTCAGATGTATTATGAGCTAAATCAGTGATATACATGTAATAGGGGGCGTTTTCAGAGGACAACCAAAGGGGGTTGAGTTTGATTTTGGTTTCTAGACATGGAGGGAATGTGGTTGGGGGAGTAGCGGGCGAATTTAGCAAAAGTGAGAGACTGGGAGATTGATTATGATACCGTACAACTTAGTTCGAGTTTGTTATTCTCATTCTGGGGAAGGAAACACCAATAACTCGGTGGTTAGCTCTTGGTGGCTAGAACAGGGAAGCCATAATCCTTGTAGTGAAAAGGGTGCGAAAGCGAAGAGTCGCACAACATCATAATATGAGAGCATGGAGGTGTGCTTCCGGGCTAACTTCCATATCTTCTTCGTATCACAGATTTTGAGACCTTTCTATATTTTCTTGGACGGCTGAGGAGTATATCGAAAGGTTGCAACTAATCAGTGTATAGGGAAACATTGGTAGCGAAGCTGATTAGCGACAGGAACCATAGAGAAAGATTTACACAGTTCATTCCAAGTCTTTTCAAGTTTCAACAAAACTCCGAACAACCAACTTGAGACGCCCTTCAAATCACAAGAGCAGAATAATAGGCCCTTTAGCGGTTAAACACAAACTTACACCACAAAGGACCCAGGAACTCGGTGAGGCTGTAGATATGCTTCCCTATTGGATGGAGACCTTTACGAGAATTTGTTGCACAGGTAGTAAAAGAGGGAGCAAAACGGACGGGAACAGTTGACCATTGATGATATTTGATGTTTCCATACCGTATCTTGACCATAGAACGCCCCTGATTGGATCAGGGATATATTCTATGCCAGCTACGCGCATGATGCAGTGCTACTATGCCTCACGTTTATGACGCGAGCTTCCCTGGCAAAAAACGCGGAACCGTTGAGACGATGCCGCGGTCTCGGTTTTATCCCAACAAAGCGTTTCAAAGGTTGTCATTGGATGAACGGAAGCAGAATGAAAATGGGAAGCCAATGATAAGGGGGTAGCGAGTGGCAATTTGTCCCTGCATATGCGCCACTCACCAACGAGTAGTAAGCGAAGAGGGATTCCGGGGAGATCGGCCGTATGGTGCATACCTTCCTAAAATGGTGAAGATTGTTTTGATTTTGACTGCTTTGGACGAAATTATGACCATGGGTGTTATACAATTGGATGCCGAGGAGAGAGGAGTAGGCAGAAAAGGATGCTTGAATTCTGCTCAACCAGGTTCGAAAGACTCCCGGAAATTTTCTCTCTGGAAAAACGGTTGTGCCGCTACCCACCCTGAATTGCTATTCCCGTCTGCCTCGTGGAAGCGCGTCCCAAGCATGCAAGGAAGCATTTTAACTTCTTCTGAATAAGCCTCATAGGTTGGAGGATTGCCTGGTAGTTGTTTTCTTGTTATCGAAAACGGGAGCCCCCGAATTCCGATAGAGCAGACTTGGAAGCAAGCAGCCATGATCTGCTCATGGAAGGTGAGATGGAATCTTAAAGCAGAGCACCAAGAGAACATACGTTACACTTAAGAGTTGTTGAAGGGGTTGAAGGATGGAAACGAAATTCAACCGGGAGCGCTGTTCTTGTGTCCTCCGTCTTTCAGCTCTACAAGTATGGGAAGACAATCCTCCTTCAAATTATTGATGTCTTGTATTCTCGGCTCCAACAATACACCATGATGGCCTCGTTTACAGGGAGAGACATCCCAGCAGCGGCCAAGTAAGTGCCTCTTTTATAGCTGATCTTTCTTTCACCCCAGTCAGCATTGCTAACCAACATTAGTTCTGCACAAAAGCAGGAAGAAAAGCCCAAACCCAAACACCCCTCTCCTCGCTCATCTGCCGACTAACCTTCCAGCAAAGCAATCTCATCTAAAACCCCTACCTCCAAGCGATCCTCGAATCCGAGTTCCTCAGCCAGTGATAACCAAGGAAACAATAGAGCCGACAACCGTCTATAGCACGTACTCAGCGGTATTGGCTCTCAATTCAGATATTCTGCAAGAGCCCAGACCATACGCGACGAGATCGAAATCAGTACAAATACAGATGGCCAGGCTATTGATGACTTACACGGACGAGAGAGACAACAACAACGGACCAGAATTGCAGTTCCTATTACAAGATATACGAACAACCTCAATGAAAGGATGAGAGCGTATCTTGAATCGCAAGATGATCCGTCTCAGCAATATGCTTTGTTTCCCCGAAGTGACACCGGGCAGCTGTCTACGCAGAAGGGGAAGAAATCTGTGTAGTTCTTTTCCAAATGGTATGCCTCGATTGAAGCTAACGGAGTCATATCTGTATAAGAAAAATATGGTATTTTGTGGTGGGGGTGTATTGATATAGCAATGGCTGGGGATATCTCGAGGTTGCCACTCGCTTAAGGATTGATCCAATGTTGGTTTTGTTGAAAGGTCTATAATATATTTTGGTTCTTATTCGCTCTAAGGTAACAAAAGTTTATAGATTTATTGGCTTATTTTGATATGGAATGGAGGTCTGGACTTCCAAATGTACATTAAAATCAAGGAAGTGGTACTCGAGACGGTGCGTTATACATAGTACCTGTGGAACTTGGGGTAAAATGTGGAACTTGGGGTAAAATACAAAACATCGTTAGGCATATAAAAATATTTTGAAAAGTAAGAACAAATCCTGTTTTCTTTGTTTAAACGTTCAAGAAATGATCTTGACATCCTAGTCAAGACTCATTTCACCACCAATCACCAACCTGGAGAAATCACCTCTCTACTCGTACAAAACCGATGATCATATATGCCAATGCAAAACAATGCAAAACAACACTCCGCACAATAGCAGTCCACAACAGCAACGCAGAAATTGGTACTGGTATGGTCTCTAAGATCTCCTCAAAACTCAATATTGTACCCTGCTGGGCTTCCACATCCTAAAAATGTTATCCCCCAACCTTTTCCCCATCATCTATATCTTTACGCTTGACCTGAACTAAATATTTCCAGACTACAACACAAGTTCAGCTCTCAACTAATACTTCTTTGAATTGAAAATTAAAAGCCTTTTTTATTTACGCGACCAAGCTCCCTATGTGAGCTCTTTGGTAATCAAACTATCTCGCTCCATATCTCTATACCCGATACATCAAAACTAATCACCCAGTCTCCCCTCCAATAATTAGGCTCATACGTTTTCTGTATATCATCTCCATCTGCCACTTGCTGCTTGACTTCCGCACGTGTGAGGCCATCCCTCAAAGTCAGCACAACTCCCGAGCCTTCCCCAAAAGTAATACTCTTATCGTCAACAACCCAGCCTGGCTTACCCACCACTCCTCTGTACACGTCTTGCACCGGAGCCAGTTGGAAAAGCGCACATCTTTCATATCCTTCCTGGTCGGGGAATACATTGTTTTGGATACCCAAGCCGTCGAATTTGGGCTTGGGACTGAAGATCCCGAATGCGTGAGGCACTCCTGTCGACGTGTCTTTGCCGAAGAGTAGTAAAAGGGCTTCGTCAGGGACTACTTCTTGAATTGTATTCACCAGAGCAACAGACGTTGGCAGATTTGAAGAGCAGTAGTGTTGCATCCGGGTGAGGCTTTCGAAGGCGACAGAGCCAGCTAGGAAGGTGACAAGTTGACTTTGAAGTGGTAGTGTAAGAGCCACATGGTCTGGTCCGGGAGGAACTGTAGCAGCGTCAAGAACATCTATAGGGCTCGACTTTCCAAGAAAGGTTTGCGAAAGCAGGCGATAGTAGCCATCAAGAAGGTATGGCGTTGTGTTCTTCATTCCGTACTCGAACATCTGCCAAGTGATGGCCTGGTCACCAGGCTTCTCTAAGAAGGATGTAGCAATAGACTGAGCTGCATTGCTGAATTGGGAAACATCGGTGACAGACTCGGATGTCTCGAATTGAAGCACTAGAAGACACTCCACGAAAGTTACGAAGCGTTGAATGGGAATCGCAAATTGATGAAATGAAGGAATATTGTTCTTCGCCACGAGACCTTTGGCTACAGAGCGAAACCAGTCGCGCGGAAGGGGACCTTTGCGATGGTCATTGATCTCCTGTGTAGAGTAAATGACATCCAATAGGTCGTGGAAAATCTCATCGCCGTCGCACTCGGAGTCTGTAGAATAGATTTGATCGAGCAAGTCTCTTTCTGCATTGGATGGATCTCCACCGTCCATGGCCGATGCAAGGCTTTGGAAGATTCGTCTCCAGTGATCAGACTTGGTATGCTCGCGTGTATCCGGGCCTTCTTCAATAATGTACGCATAACGACCAGGCATTGCCCATGACAGGCTTCGCATGAGCTGCTTCGTGGACAAGCCCTCTGCTTGAACGTCCACTTCCTGTGAGAAATGAGAAAATGGTAGCGATGCGAGATATTTGATGCTGGCATATATGATCTCTCCAGCCTTGATGCCTTCTGACGAACGGAAAAGTGTGCTTTGAGCAGCCAAAAGGGAGATGAAGTTGGATTTGGTCAATATAGCGTTACTACTGAAGATTCCAATGAGATCCGCCTTTTCTTCTTCGCTCATAGCGTAGCTGTTTTCGATTTTTTGGTCAAGACGCTCGATGATGAATTCCTTCTCCATCAGACCCTGAGAGATCCAATTATCGATCTTAGAGACTCCCATGTTTATTATGTCGGTAAGGTAAACAATGCAAATATCGTGCAAATTGAATGGCAGAAAGCGTCGCAAATGAAAATTGTGCTGAGAATGAAGAAGTACGGATTGTACAATTGAGATAATCAACCAAGTCTGGATTGTCTTCTGAGACGTATCTAGGTAGCTCAAGCTTAAAATGAGTACCGAATTCCCCCCTGTAATCAAGTACCTTACCAATCCAGATATGACGTATGAGACGGTGGCTGCGGTAATGGGATAAAATCCTCTATGTGGGAAGAAATTACGAAGAATTGGTTCGTAAAAGTTTGGTTATAGATTTGCGGCATGTGTCTGTGGCTGCTTATAAGTAATATTGTAGAACCTTAGCTACGAGTACACACGTGATTCCAGATTTGTGGAGGCTTAGCTGCATCAGTTTTAATTGGTCGAAAGTCCGATAGCTCACTGGATGAAGGCATTGGGAGCCTACCAGGCACGCCAGGATCCCTGTAAGGTTCTCCTGAGGGGAGATTTGATAGGCTTGATGTGCTCGCTTGAATCCTACTCCTAGCGAGCCTTACAGTAACAATCAGCACCGCACTTTGGCACAGCGCTGCGGATTCTCAAGCACATTTGTTCGAAACATGATTACCAGATCCAAGGGGGGATTCATATTATAAATATCCAAAACTAATTATTCCTTTTCGTAAGACTGAACGCAAATAGATCGTTCGCTTCTTTGGTCACCGAGCATAGGCACGATAGGCACTAGTTATACGATAGTTACATGAAGGGAAAAAACATAAGCTTTCGCACGATGAAGAATTATTTCTATAAGACCACCAAGTTCTCCCTAATATGGCTCGATCAATCCAGCCGCAACAGTTTCATTCTTGCATCTCTAGTGTTATAATATTTCTCATCCATTTTCCCTTTTTCATCTGTCAGTCCTTGTTTTCAATTCAATACATAACAAGTTCCCTTCATTCTACGACTCAATCAAAATGAGATTCTCCTACCTTCTCTCCGCCTTTTTGGCAACCCTCACTATCGCAAGTCCCATCGCCAACCCCGAAGCAGCCAGCCTTTCCACTCGTGCTACCGAAGATAAGGCCACATACACCTTAGCCACCAAAACTCACTCCGGCCTAAAGAAAGACGACTGGGTCTGGTTTACCATGGAATGGCCTCGTGGCTCAATTATTGGCGACGGCGACACAGAGAGCAAAGAAGAACTCTCACAACTTCGAGACAAACTTGGCTTTGATCACATTGGCATCGTTGTCGGCCAAGTTACTGAGGTTACCACGGGTAAGGGAAAGAACTTGAAGACGACACGCGATTTCAAGGCTTCCTTGTATCATATGATTGAGCACGAGGACCCCACGACCAAGGTCCCCAATACTGAGCTCAAGGCACCCAATTGGATAGCGGATCCCAGCAAGATTCTCAAGTTTGGAGGAATGACGAGTTCGAAGAAGGCTACTGCTGCTAAGAACGCGGCAAAGAGTTACTTTGATGACGATGCTCATAAGAAGTATGCGGTTAATGGAAACAACTGCAATGATTTTGTGAATGCTGTTAAGAAGGCGCTCTAATGTGGATTAAGTTCCTTGAGCTGCCAAGGAGAATTTCTAAATGCCTTTTTGGGGGGAAGGCTTTCCTAACAGAGGATTTTGTTGTTTTTGGGTTGAATGTTGTTGGCTGTAACGAGATTCATTCATAGAGTTCGCAGAATATTGGGTGGCGGGTTTTGCTTCAGTTATTTTGTTTTGGTCGGGACATACGCGTTATAGAGTAGATAAGGTCCGTTATATAATATGCCTTTAGGAGAAATACTGTATTTTTTTAGCGTATAAAAGAACTATGTAAGTAGTACTCGAGTACTACTCGAGTAGTAGTAACGTGACTAATACAAGTAAAGTACAAAAGAATTGTCCTTAAATAGTAGCTCTCTCTTTGTCGCTTGTGCCTTATTTAAGGGGGCCCGGCCAAGTCCGAGTTATCGGCCCGAATTACTCCGTAGTACATGAGTAGTACTCATGTATTTAGCGAGTAGAGTAGAGTAGGGTTAAAACATACTTAAGTAGAGTAGATTAGGTACTCTACTCTACTCTACTCTAATTATTTCTTATGCTATATCTATGTTGCTAGGAATGTGGAAGGCTAGGGTGCTAGAAGAGTTGTATTCAGATGACTAGGGAGATAACTACTGTGGGCAGGAGCCTGGTTTATATGGCCCTGGCACATGCCCCTCCTTTGTTGTACTCGTACACTCCTACTCTATTCTATACAGGTTCCAGGTTCCGTACGGTGGAAACCACGGGTCAGCATATTAGCTGACAACAATTTATTTACTATATTACTATCCCTTACTCTGTAAATTTTGACTACTAGTAGGCAGAACGCTGAAAAGGGGTTAGTCTTAGTGCCCTCGCTAATCAAACTGGCGGGATACTACTAGCTATACCAAATTAAGCGATCCGCCTACCGGTAAGTGAAAATTTACAGAGTAAGGGATACTACTGTTCTTATAATATTACAAAAATATGAACCAAGTAACAATATCCCGTCCCATCTAACTATCGGAAGACAAGGGCACAATATAGAACAAATAAGCTAGAATAAGGAAAGAACTTATCTAGAGGGCAAGCAGGGCTCCAATATAAGAGCTGTCCGTCAGCCTAGAAGCGTCCGGAATAACACTAGCACCTTCCATCAAATATAGTAGCGCCAGACAGTAGAGCCTTGAGCTTGTATCATACCAATTGCCGTCAGAAAATCAAAACTCGATGCCCGAGCGTCACAAATCCCTCAGTGGACAAGCCTCTTAACAAGTACTCCTCCTAAATAGCAAATAAGTCTAATCAGATCTATATCCAAATCGGTGGCTTTTCAAAGGACATGCCGATATCCAAATGCAAGTCAAAATGCGTGTTTAGACCGGTCCTAATGCCATGTACTGTACTGGTATCCATACATGAGCATCCATAATAAATCCAAAGGCAATGCGATATATCCTGCCTATCCGAACATCGAACCCGACAACTACGAAGCGACGAGTTTATCCCCTTCAAGAAAAAGGGGGGTGAATCGTGCTTTGCTTGGTTCGAGAATTCTCGACACTTCTCTTTCGAGAAATAAGAGCAAGAGCTTTAGCCAGGTATTTCCCTTCTTCAAAGTCAGTGGAAAGATCTAAAGAGTTATCTGTTTTACTAGGGAAAGTCGGTATGGCGTACGAGGGTTGTAGTCAGGTATCGGGTCCGACGACTGTAAGATTCCAGCTTTGACGTGTTTTATCCTTCGAGGAGCTTGCTAAATTTGAGGTCGAGAGGCTTTTCGCTCTATTCTGTTAGACAACTGTCTGATCCATAATCTAACTTATCGAGTTCCTAATTCTATTTATCCTGTGTATTATAGTTGTCCTAAACTTCGCGGATCGTCTAGTCTTGTCTTGTAATCGTGAGATAAGTTGATTGTATCGTAGGATATATTGCTTCTGATGTACTTTAGCTCTCTTACCCTATAATCGACAAATCTTAAGTATAATATCGAATCAGGTTGCCATAATATCTGCTAGTTCAGTAAAGGGGTATTCGCTCTAAGTCGCTTCTTTGGAATGCGTATCTAATAAATTAGATAGGATAAGAAGTGTAAATCTCAAGTCCTCTAGCGGAGTTAATAATCTAGGTTGCCTACCTAGACATAGTGTTGTGCTGGGTCTACTTTCTCTTTTGCTCCACTTCCTTATTTGATCCACTTATAGTTCTGCTGCCTAAATGCTTCATGTCTGCCTAAACCTTACACTCTTTATATAAACACCTTAGATAGCTACCTTTTACAATGCAATCAATTCTCCATGACCTTCAGTACCCAATACCCTTTCAACCCAATACATAGCTTAATAAGTAAAGAGCCGGACTACAACTTATAAGCGAGAGTACTTGAGATAATAAAGGGAGATTCTCTAGTGTCTAATATGTACTAGAGCTAGGTAACAACAACCGGATTTCGTCCGAAACAGACAAGACGTACCTAGGTTCGAGGCAGTACTACTAATTGTTAGGGATAAACTAGGAGACTGTTAAAATAAGCTATAAAAAGTAGAATAGAGAGAGAAGCTAGCTAGGGGGCGAGCAAGGCTCTAATAAGAGCTATCTATCGACCTAGAAGCGCCCGGAATAAAACTAATACCCTAACGCCTTCTATAAAATATACTAGTACTAGACAATAGAACCGAGAGCTCGTATCGTAATACTCTAGTAACTATTATTAACTTGGACTAATAATCCCAAGTTATTTCACCTTATTTTAACTTCCCTGTTATATATAGGTATATATTAGTAGTGGAACTACCTCCTCTAAAACCCCCTTAAAAATATATATACTACTACCTTCCCCCTCCACCCCCATCCCTTACCTTGTCATCAACTAATAAACTAAGAAACTAATACCCTCTTCCCCCCTCTCTCTCTAAAAAAGGAAAATATTCATTAAAAAATAAAACACGACCATCTTTATAGTATAGCATCACCCAACCATTCCCCTTCCCCATTCCCCTTCCCCATTCCCCTTTCCCTTCCTATTCTTACAAACCCACATAATATACCACACCCTCCCATGCAACCCCATCCCCCCCAAAAATCAATAGCCAAACAAATACAACCAAACAACTCAAAAATCCTTCTATCCAAAACACATCACATTACCTCACATCACCTCAAAAACCAACTAACCAATTAACCAACCAACAAGCATACAGGTATGTAGGTAGTTATCAAATACCCTACTTACCTATCCATTAACCCCTTAAACCCCTTAAACCCTTATTAGAAATAGGTAGGTAAGCAAGCTACCCAAGTATATATATAAGTAATTAAATAAGTAAGTAAATTTATATTACGTTCTTTTCCATGCATAAGGAGAATACCTAGGTACTGTACTATACTATACTATACTATACTATACTATACTATACTATACTATACTATACTATACTATACTATACTATACTATACTGTATTATTCTTGATTATACAAACGGGTACTGTAGTAGGGGTGAAGGGTTATTAGGTGAGTGAGTATGAGAGTAATGATGGATGATTGTTAAGGGGGAAAGATGGAAGGTTGTCAAGAGGATGGAAAGGTGGGTATTTGTGGCGGTGGAAGGATAATGGGAAGATACTGTATAGGTAGATAAGGGATGATTATGGAGGGGGGCCACCAGGAGGTGATTTGGTAGTAAAGGGAAATGAGAAGGTATAATCTTACTTAGGAGATGGGTAGGTAATTATTAATTTCAGTTGATATTGCTCTTCTATCGTACTCGTATATACTTATCTATGTTTATTCATGGAGATGAGATATTGATTTTCGTTGATTGTTAGAACTTGGTTGGAAAGTGGTTCTTTTGATTGCAATTGTAAATTATGATTAGAAAGAGACTCTCTACTTTACAAAAGCGACTATGTCCCAGACAGGTAGCTAAAGGAATTTTAGGCCAAGTCTCACGTCCAAGCGAAGCTCAATCTATCATCGAAAGTAGGGTGCTCCCTATCAACAACTCATTCTCATTCCCGAATCTCCTTCGACGACACCGCCTCCACGGTCGCACTAGTCTTCCCCACCTTGTGTCCCTGCTCAAGACTACTCTCACTACCCGCTCTGTCCAACGGCGCCGCCGCCTCACTCTTCTTCTTCGCAAACGGGAACCGTCCATGAACCTCCTTGTACCGCATAACCACAAAGCCAGTGATGACCGCAATCCAGTAGACGTTGTAGGAGATGACACTTCCATACGTAGCGCTATTCTGCCATCCAAAGATGGCGTTGAAGATGCCCCATCCGCCGCCACCGTTCAATTCGGGATTACCGTAGTTGACGTGCCATACCGAGCGATCGATATCGTAGGATCCCGCACCGGCACCGACTTCGGCCGCGTCGCCGCCGACGACCTTGTTCCATTCTTGTTGTTGGAAGTACCAGATTGCCTTGGAGAAGAGGCCGGCGGCTACGAGGTAGAGGAGGCAGGTTGAGACGACGAGGAAGAGTTGGAGTTTGCTTGAGGCTCCTCCTCTGTTTTGTGTTAGCACTTCTTCAAGGATGTGTATACTCGCGGGGTAAGGACATACTTATAAAGCAAATAGCCGACTGCAAACCCAGCAATTAGACCGACAACCACAGGGCACGGCACAGCACTAGCCGGACTTGAGAAAGAGACACCAGCAATGAAGATCACAGCCTCAAGGCCCTCTCTGAGAACCGTAATGAAAGGAAGCATGAACATGGCATACTTCTCACACCATCTCTTGAACGCGCCCTTTCTTCCATCTGTGGTGACGGGTTTCTCTTCCAGGGCTTTAGCAAGCTTTACACGCCATTTGTCTTGCATTTTGGAGACGCGGAGGAGAGCCCAGCCGATGATACTAATTACCAGCGAGGCGAAGATGGAGAATGCGCCTTCCCAGTAGTATTCTGTGCCGGACCATTTGTCTTTTCCTATGCCGTAGAAGGCGCCGATGAGGCCGCCGCCGATTACGAGACAGATTAAAAGACCGAATCCCGTTCCATACCAGACCTGAATCTTTTGTCAGTAGATATTTCCGAAAGAGGGAAATGTAGGACGAACTTGTTTGAAAAGTTTCTTGTAGACGACTGGGTCTCGAGAAGGACCATCGAGAGTTTGTTTGAGGAAGGCGAGGAGGACCGAAACGATGACGGCGGTTTCGAGAGTCTCGCGAAAGACCACGAAGAATACGGGGACGGAGAAGACGTTGACTGTCATGGTGAGAGGATTGTGGTGATGGTCATGAAAGGGAGGATGAAAGTGTGTTGGATACCAGAGCGAACTTGTGGTTGTATTGATAAACCCAAGTTATCATGGGAGAGAGATGACCGAGGACGGAGCGAATAGTTGAGAACCTTCTTTTCAAAGTAAATCGAAAGTTATTCACCACTGGAGGCAGATCGGGAGGAGGGGAAGGATCAGATTATCAGATATGATAACGTAGCCGAGATGGAGACACCCCTGCTCGTCAACCAGCCGGGCTTATTGTGAATGTGGTGGGGGTTGACAGTGAAGCAGCAGTACAGAGGTAGAAGTATGTTACATGCCGATGATCGGAAGAGGGAAGAGGAAAGTGTGTATTTCTTTTTCTCCTGTCAAATAAGTTTCAGTTTCAGATTTGACTTCAAGAAGAGCGGCTATATCGGCTCTCTGATGGCGTTCGCGGTGAAGCACAATCAGGCTGTGCACCAGTTGACCTGCACTCTGACAATGACGGAGACCGGTGAGTTCTCTAGCGTTGAAAAAGTTGGAGTGTTTCTGAAATCGTTGAACTCTACTATCAGCAGTAGCGTGAAAGATGCTTCAAGCTAGGCCTTTCTTTTCACCTAAAGTTTGCATGTGTACGGGCTATGGCTGGATGTCGATGCTATCCATAGGTGGGCATGAATGATATCAGATCAGACAAGATTTTTCCATCCTTCACTCCCCCCTGTGACATTCTCACCGCTGGGATTTATCCATGATCATGGACGAATCACGGAGCCTGAAGAGATCTGATAGGACCCACCCGGCAAAGTCTCGACGTCGGAAGTGGGGATTGGAGGGGTTTTGACGGAGGATATTCACGACAAGCTTTGTTTAAAGAACTTAAGCTCCGGTGGCCCCGGTGATCGTTTCTTGGCCTCATCAGTTGCACAAATCAGCTGGAGCTGCCGTCAAAGCCGATCCACTTCTCACCAGCTTTTTTACCAGGTGGGTCTACCGAGTAGGCTGTACAGCTACTTTTGCTGCAGCGTTCCAGTCCGAGTTGGTGGGATTGAAAGCAGGACGAGCCGAGTAATGTGGAACACTGCTTGTGGCTAGTTGGGTACGGCTATCGAGCCTGGAAGCCTCGGCCTAGATTGAAGCAGAGAAACACACCACAACTGCCCGCTGCAGTCTGCACACCTTAATCGTTTGTTCACTGCTGAGTGGACCTGATGATGTAAAAGGAAGCTGGTGCTGCATATGGGATGTAGAGTTCTGATTGACTTCCATATTCCCATAACTTCCAATCTGATACGATAACCAAAGCATACCCGACACCCTTCTTTTGATAGCCCAAGTGACATTTCTGCCCTGCTGGAGACCGTGGGGAGATTCTCGCCCAGACTGACCTCGTGTTGACCATGCATGTTTGCTGTTTGCCGTTTGCTCCCCACTGCTACTTCTAACTGACCCTTACCGAGTAAAGGGTCTGGACAGCTCGCGTCGCCCCCTCCCCTGTATACGACTTGTTATAGGCAGGGTATAACTCCACAATATAGCCCTCTAAGCCAATTGAATTGTCCGATTCATGTGGAGGTATATCAGAAAGTGACAAGGGGGGGGAAGACCCGAGCTGTCCAGACCCTTTACATAGTACACCTACGGAGCACCTCCGCTAGCGTGGGGCAACTTTCAGCTCTGCGGGATTTTGGACTTGTCACTAGAGACCATCATCAGGCGTCATGGAACGCTAGCAAACTTTGTAAAACAAAACTTTGCCTATCCACACATGCAACTGCGCCTCATGCGGGTAGGGCGCTAGCTTGTACAATTGTAAACTTAACCATATCTCGTCTCTCTCACCAGTCAAAACTGGAAGGTCAGATGGAGAGAGAGTCCCTCGTCCCTCCAAAGTCCCCTCACAAGCCAGTCGTCAATTCACCAACACATGTCTGCAAACATCCCGTCCCGGCTATGCTAGCAAGCCACACAACCCTGTCGACGTGATTATCGCGGCATCTGATAACCCGGCCTATCCTAGGAAATCTTATCTGATCGATCGGTAAGAACAATCGCCCTCTTCTCTGCATCACATTTTCTCCAAAATCCTCCCGCCAGTGCCGTCGCTGGTCCGGCTTCGCTGATCTCACTAAGAGAATGTCGTAAAGGGCAACTAAATACTCATCTAGTCGGATCCTCGAGTTCCTGCCGTCCGTGAATTTATCATCAATTACCATCGGTCAAACATCGTGCCTTCTTGAATGGAAATTAACACCGTCGGTCTGGAATACTACAAGCGATCATCAGCTACGTTTAATTCTTTAATATGGCAATGTCGTTGTCATACTTCTCTATTTTACCGGCGCTGCTTCTTGCCTTCTCCCTCATAGCAGAAGCAGCTACCGTTACTTACGACTTTAACGCAACGTGGGTCCGCGCCAATCCAGATGGACTATTCGAGAGACCGGTCATTGGTATCAATGGAAAATGGCCTCTACCAGTGATGGAGGCAAATGTTGGCGACCAAGTTATCGTCAATTTCCAAAATCAACTTGGTAACCAGACTACAACACTTCACTTCCATGGTTTATTCCAGAATGGTACGAGTTATATGGATGGACCGGGACAGGTTACTCAGTGTCAGGTTCCTGATGGAGGTAGTATCGTCTACAACTTTACTGTAAGCCAATCCCAAGAAGAAAATAAGCAGCAAAGACTTACGAAAGAAAGGCTCAACAATCTGGCATGTATTGGTATCATTCTCATCATCAAGGTCAATATCCAGATGGGATTCGAGCACCATTCATCATTCGTGACCCAGAATTCCCATACAAAGATAAGTATGACGAGGAGATTATTTTGTCGGTTTCCGATTGGTACCATGAGGAAATGACAACGTTGATTCCAAAGTTCCTTTACAAGGGCAATCCAACTGGTGCAGAACCTGTTCCACAATCAGCACTGATGAACGATACCCAAAATTTGACGGTTGCTGTCCAACCAGGCAAAACTTACTTGTTCCGTATGGTTAACATTGTATGTTATTATCTTTCCCTTGCCTCTTCGAATTGTTGATTTTGGTGACCGAGAGGATGTTTCTTTATTGAAGGCTGCTCGGGGAAATTGAATGCTAATTGATTGTAGGGAGCTTTTGCGGGGCAATACATCTGGTTCGAGGGCCACAATATGACTATTATTGAGGTCGATGGTGTCTTTACCGAAGCTGCAGAGGCTTCCATGATTTACATTTCTGCCGCTCAGAGATGCAGTTTCCTCCTTACGACGAAGAACGAAACAACTAGCAATTACGCCTTTGTGGCAAGTATGGATACCGTGAGTCGAGTTCTCCCAGTCTAAATTAAATGTGCTGACAAGAATCAGAGTCTTTTCGATGTCATGCCTGATGGTCTCCAATGGAACTCAACTTCTCATCTTGTCTATAACAAAGACCTCCCACTCCCCGAGGCACAGCTTGTTGATGAGCTCAAGGAGTTTGATGACTTTACTCTCGTGCCTTTTGATAGAGAAGCTTTGTATCCAGAGCCAGATCAAACCATTAGCCTCGATGTGATCATGGACAATCTTGGTGACGGAAAGCCATAGTACGTACATTCTCGGGTTCGTAGTATGACCATACTGACTTCGAATTCAGTGCCTTCTTTAACAACATCACCTATGTCTCTCCAAAGGTTCCTACACTTTATACGGCCATGACCACCGGTGCCGACGCTAGCAACCCTCTGGTTTATGGGGAATATTCTCATCCATTTGTTCTTGAAAAGGACCAGATTGTGGAAGTTGTTGTGAACAACCTTGGTTAGTACTCAAGACCTGAAACTCAAAATGGCTTACTGACAATTCTCAGACACTGGAAAACACCCCTTCCATCTTCACGGGCACAACTTCCAAGCCATCGTTCGATCGGATGAAGAAGCGGGCGCCTTTGATGCAACAAATGCCACCCAGACTCAATATCCTTCAATACCAATGAGAAGAGATACAATTGTTCTCCGTCCAAATGGTAATACTGTATTGAGATTCAAGGCCAACAATCCCGGTGTTTGGCTTTTCCACTGCCAGTAAGTGCCTCAAAGCCCCAAGAAAAGGTGTCATCTGACCATGCCCAGTATCGAATGGCACATGGACCAAGGCTTGATTGCCACATTCGTGGAACAGCCTCTTGAGATGCAGAAAAGTCTCATCATCCCAGATGACCACAAAGCCATCTGCGAGTCCCAGAAGATTCCCACCGCGGGCAACGCAGCAGGAAACACAGTGAACTTTCTCGACTTGCAAGGACAAAACAAGGCTCCAGACCCACTACCAGCGGGTTTCACCCCAAGAGGAATTGCCGCTCTGGCTTTCAGTGTTTTGGCGGCCATCTTGGGTTGTGCTGTTATTACATGGTATGGACTGGCGGATATGGGGGCGGCGAGCCAGAGAGAGGAGGAGAGACGTTTGGCTGGTATGGATGGGAGTGAGGGTGCTACGAGAAAAGACTCGGGAAGTGAGGCCTCGGATACTAAGGTTCATTCTCTTGACTAATGGCGTGGACCAAGGTGGGGGTGTGAAAGAATTGAAAATTAAAGTGCCATGGGGGTACTCCGTACATTGGCAATCCGATTATTACAATGTGTAAATTGTAAATAGAGCGCTCTTTCATTGACTCGCCTAGCTCTTGTGAATGAGGTGGTCTTTTGCCTGGTCTCAAAGACAGGCCTTGATACTTGAGCTGTAGACAACCAAAAAGTCCAACATCTGTTACAGTTGCTTTTGTGGTCGAGATTCCCTGTATTCCTTCGCTGGGCAATGTCAATATCTGTATATGTCAGATGAATCTTGGTTGGAAAAGAATTCATGAGATGAACCTGAAGGCTCTTGTGCAGAACTGTCTGTAGCAGATAAGGCGGAGAAGGAGCGCAATCCTTGGCACGGAGAAGAACGCCGGAACCTCGTCGTAACTACGAGTAAGTTTACAAAATCCCCTCATTTTCGTCCATTCACAACCCTCCTCTCTTTTTAGTGTTTTTTCTTTTATGCCTCTTCACCTTTATTTTACTCACTACTCTCTCTTTCCTTGATCTTATGCCCACCCTACTTTGCTTGAATGGATTGAATACCTACCGGGCGGAACTTTGCGAATTTCAACGGAGGGGAAACCCAACAACGTTCTACACGTAGATTGACCACCACGCTAGGGAGCTATAGACACTTAGGGTTTGCCGAATGGAAGTACTGATATTTATTGGATAATCTTTCATTGGCTCTGGGACTCTTGTGGTGGTGGAGGGAACGCGGTTCGTGGAGAGAGCTGTTTAGGTCTTTCTGATGGCCGGTGTTAAGCGTTCAACGAGAGGTCCTTGGTCGTTGGCAGATAGCTATGGTATGTACATTCTGGGGGCTTCCGATTGGGAGGACAGTTGGATTTTATACTGACTAAGTTCTCCTGCAGGCTTCATTGCTTCGTACGTCACCAGCGCGAGACAACATCCCCGGCAGCTTGCTTCAATAGCAGCAGGAGGGCAGAGACAATTCTCACGAACTGCATACACCCAATTCTCAGTGCTGGAAGATGGATACAAGATCAGTAAATCCCGCGGAGCATCATGCTCTCCTCGTCCAAATTCTGTCTACCCAAGCACAACCACCCGTCGAAACTTCCACGATTACTTTGTCACGAACCTACCCTCTTCCTCTCTCCACCCAGATTCCCGCACAGCGAGAGGTCCGCACCATAAACTTCCTCGTTCCGCCTCAACCCCTCATACAGGACCCGGTCGCTTACCAGCAGCGGCCCCTCCTATGCTTGGTCCCTCGCGCGATATGACCGTCGTCCGGATTCCCCTTCGAAGCGCAAAACACCATTTCGGTGTCTCCCTCTCCCGCGGTACACGTCCGTACAATGAAGATACTTTTCAAGCAGGCACTTTGGAAATACCAGCCTTTGCAAAACGTGCTCCGATTAGTTTGAGTCGTTCAAACAAAGCTGGTGCGAAAGGTGGAGCTACGAGTGCGGATAGTGCAAGTGGGGATCCTCAAGTTTTCTACTTTGGGGTTTATGATGGGCATGGGGGAAATGAGTGTAGTGATTTTCTGAGGGAAAGACTACATGATTATGTGGAGAAGACGGCGGAGACGTTTGAATTGGGGAGTAGTTTGAAAAAGAGCAGGTCAAAAGATTTGGGTTCTGGGACTCACGTTGGGGCAAATAGTGAGCTGACTACGAATGGAAAGGAGACATTGAAGAAAGTTGAAATGGAGACAGCAGATGAAATGAAGGATTCCGCAAGTTCGCCGACTCAAAATAAAGAAGGGACTCTTTCAAATCCACCATCGGAAACAGTTCAGGTGGAAAGTGAAGAGCCCGAACCCATTGAATCCAATAAGCCTAAAACAATTGAGATGGAGAGATCTCTAGTGGCACAATGGAAGGAGACAGTTGGTGGATACTTTCGACGCTTCAGACCAGCCTATTTCACGCTCCCATCTTCCGATGGGTCTCCACCATCCGACGCTGTGGTATCCATAGAAACCGTCCTAATGTACGCCTTCCTTAAAGCAGACCTCGACTTCATCACCGCCCAAGCACGCAAACCCGATCCAGAAAGCCACAACGACAGTCCCCTAAATGCTGAAGACATACTTGGTGAGCCCGCCCATCGCTGTACAACCCAAGACCGTATCGGAGGGCCAACAAGATTTCTAGGCGGCTCTACAGCCTCGGTAGCACTCATCTCCACGCCCTCGCCAACACCATTCTGGCATCCTGCCTCTCCATCTACGCTGGTCGTCGCTCATGTGGGAGATACCCGTATACTCCTTTGTGACACGGCTACCGGAATCGCTAAACCAGTTACCACCAACCATCACCCTTCCTCACCGGTAGAAAGTACCCGTCTCCGTCGCTACGCCGCGACCTTCGTCACCGATTCTTTTGGCGAAGAACGCATGTCGGGACTCGCTAACACGCGAGCCTTTGGCGACATGCGTTCCAAGAGAATCGGCGTCTCTGCTGAACCTGAAATCCGGCGTATCGAACTCGCTCCTGCTGAATACTCGTTCGTCGTCCTAGTTTCGGATGGTATCTCAGGGACCCTCAGTGACCAGGAAATTGTGGATGTGGTTAAGGAGGCCAAAACTCCGGAACAGGGCGCGAAGGATGTCGTTGCATATGCGACGGAAGTGTCCAGGGAGGGCGATAATGCTACATGTCTCATTGTGAGACTTGGAGGGTGGGAACGCAGGGGCGAGGGGGGGATGGGAAGTATGGGGACGAGGGAGATGAGGGATTTTAGGAAGGGAGATGCTTTGGATCCTAGGAGGGGGAGGACTTAGGTTTTGGAGTGGGGCGGGGGAGATAGACTGGGAAAGGGAGAGGGAAAGAGGATTGTATAGAAAGAGGAATTAGATTTCTTTCTCTTCTTTTTTCCCTTCTCTTGGAGAGACTAAGTCTTGGGTGAGCGTGTGCATGTGCGTGAGGTGATGGGATAGGATAGGCGGGTGGGTGTTCATACGAGGCGTGGTGAGATGAGGTATATACCTTAACATACTCTATATATAACAATCTATCGATCGATCGATCGATATACACCACATATAAATCCTATTTCACGAAGTACAAACTCTAAATATAATAGGTACATTTAATCTCCCTCATCTCACGAGAAGTTTCTCACAAACCGAGAGGGGTACTTGTAATGGATGGGTATTATGTGGTTCCTGGAGGGTAGATAGATAAGACCTTTCACGCGATGTCTACCTATTTTACTCTATAAGTTATTGTAGATTAGATTCCGAAGAACTCCTTTCCTGGGTAGATTGGGATGGGGTCCTATTTGTATTCGGCTGGGAAGTTCTTGAGGTCTGTTTAAATGGTGACTGTAGAGAGGAGGGTCGTGAGAAAAAGTGAACCTAAATTTGCTCTTCGATCTGAATGTACTGTAACGCAACGTCCCTTCAAGACTCGATACGACAACCGAATCCATTGCTAACCTAACCCAATCGTTCCTAGGTATAAAAAAGCTAGACAAGAAGTATTCTGTAAACTGTATCGAGACCCTACATGTTTTACGTTCGATCATGTTAACAAGAGAGGCTCATTTGTAAAGTTTATATCTGTTCTTGGTGTGAGTTTTGGATGGGTGTGAAAGGACGGGGGGAACATGATGGGGAGGAATGTACAGTAACATTTGCTAGATAAGATAGTATACGAGTACGTGGGGTTTGTGGGAGAGATTTAGCTTCGAGTATTCTTGCTGTCGAGTATTCTTGCTGTCGAGATATATATACTCCTAGCTTTCGGTAGGGGCGTGGGATAAGATTAAAGAGGGAGAAAGAAATTGTGTGCTAGGTGGAATAAGAGTCTCGAAAGGAACTATATACTAGGTAGTACAGTACATCTCACGCATCAGTCTCACATGCTAACCACGGGTTCGGGTTGATCCAAGGACGAATATACCAGTTCTGGTTCAGTGCTAGTACCGAGGAATCCATTCCTTTGAGTGAGGAAAGACCTGTTGCGTACTATGTAGGGATCGTCTTTCTAATGTGACTATTCCACGAGTCACGACTTTTGCTCCCATCCCCGTTTGGGCTCGTGGGGTTTTCTATGATGAGAACACTGGGGTCTGTGGTGGATGGGAATGGGGGCTTTGTGGGTGTGGGAGTGGGGTGGAGGGGTGGAGGGGTGGAGGGAGGTGGTTCGTTGGGATGGGGTGGGATGGATGGGATGGCTTTGTGTGTATGTGTACGGTGCGTGTGTATGTGTGTGTATACTCTAAGTGTATAGATGATTTTAGGGAGGAGTATTCAAGTGAGGTTAGATTTAGGGAGTGGTTTAGGAAGTGGGGAGTATTAATCTGTTTTCTGGGGACAAGTGAGGTGGTGTTGGGAATTGCTGGCTGCTGGCTGCTTGATGGGAGATGGGAGATGTTATGTTAATAAGCTCTCGGGATTTGTTGATAGATGATTACCTGTAGTGGATATATGGAACGAAGGATAGAAGGCAAGAGATGCGATGCAAATCAAGATACCTTAGTAAAGTGAAATGAGTAACATCAAACTATCACCTGTAAAATATTCTCCGTTCTGGTCTATAGAACCACTTTCGAGACATTATAGAAGTAGCATAGCAACAAGTGAGTAGCGATGTCTATACTCATTAATCTAGGACCTGGTATAAGCTTTCCAAAAGCACCACATCTTCTCTACAACTCACTTAACACTCTCACTTTTCCAGTAGCCAGATTTCGTTCTTTATCGCCTATACACTTCTCTTTATAGGAATACCTCATAAATTGATACCGGCGAGAAGGATTCTTTTATGAAGCCGAGAGATATGCAAATGTACTACAGGCTGTACGAAAATGGCTCGCGAGTGAACTAATCAAGTAGGATCAGCGGAAGATTCTGGTTAAGTTCGATTTGATGTTCGCTTAGAATAGATGGAAGGCCTTAAAAGACTTTGAAACTTGAAAGGACCAGGCTGCTATACATATAAGCGTCTCTATGAGGGCATGAGAATTGGGGATGCCATCGAATGTTGTGTTGCTGTCGAGTTTATGTTGGGGGTTCGGGTTTGGGAAAAGGTAAAGGAGTCGTAGAGGTGTCGTTTTTATAGACGAAGACTTTAAGAACAGCTGCTCTTCTAGTGTCAAGAAGTTCCTACGGTGGGGCCTACAAATTCCTCCACCATAGTCTCTTCAACTTGTCATCGTTTTTGCGTTGTGATTGGCAAAATATGTTGGCGTGGGATTATTCATGGACAAGTACAGCCTATCTTCTTAGAAGCTTTACAGGGGGTTCAGGTTTAGACTGTAGGAGCTGGTTTGCTAAGTTGCTGATGTTTTCAGTAAGTGGTTACTTATTTATATATTTAGAACGAAGGGAATGTACAATTTGAAATATTGCATCTTAGAAGTTGACGAATTGAAGTGTGAGGCGAGACAACCTTAATATTGTTACCATGGGGCTTATATAGTTACTTTAACGATAAAGTAAGCCATGTATTGTATTATAAAAGCTGAATAGTATCTTCCACAATGTTACAAGTAGCCACTCATCACATTTCTCTCTGGGCAGTCTACGTTAATAACCAATCCCACTTGAACCTACCAACTCCCATATCCTAGTGTTTCAATAAAACGTAAACGACGTCGACTATGTTATAAATCTCTTAGCTGAAAGACCCCAAAACAATCGCAGACGAATTGATGGGAAGTGCAAAGCACAGCTGGCAAGAGTTTTATCTTTGAGTATAGAGCGTTTTGGTCTTCTAGGTCGCGGATATAAGGAACACTCTTCAAGTTGTAGAATTGTCGGAGTAGAAGTTGAGGGTTTCTTTGTGGGATATTAGTGTCGAATGTTGTGCTGTCGTCGAAATCTTAGTCTGAGTCTCAACTTCGTGACTACCTAGGTAAAGATGAAGGCTTTTGAGAGGGAGTTGTAAAGATGAATTTACTTACGCTTTGTGTCTGCCCTCAGTCAGACCTTGGGTTTCTCCGCCTCTAAGGTACTCGGAACGTCCCAAGGGCCAAGATCCAATCATTTTTCTCATCTATGAGCTTTTGGAGAAGCAGGAAGGACTGTGGGGTTATCTCCTAGGTCCTAAAAGAGTATCTCATCCCACGTGTTAGCTCCTTGTTTAAATCATGTTATGATCTATAGATTAGAGTGCTCTGTGTATCGTAGACACAATTTTCCACCCAAGGTTTTCGTGCTTCTAATATGACCAAGCAGTTCCTGGATTAACTTCTCCATCATTCATATGCATAGATTTAGCCTTTTCGCTCCATTTCGGTGATCCATTGTCATTTATTTTTGGGTAGACTTGTAGCTGACAGAGACATCAACGGGGACTAGTGGGTACCTCCTTCTGCCAATATCCATACAATATTTCACCATCGAATAGTCTATATAAATGGCTTGGGGTCCAAGCTTGTAGCAGGTAATTGAGAGACAAGAGAGGATGTCTTTGAGAAATAGAAGTGATGGTTTTGACCCCTTAAGGAAGTTGTAGATAAGACAGCTAATTATGTAATCAACTTTCCGTCAAGAGATATAAACCCCACTTCGATTCGATCAAAGCTTTAATTTTTATGAAGATATCACGCTCGAACTATATTCGATAGTAAATAAACCTTGAATACACTCATTCTAAACAGCGCTAAGTGATTGTTAGAGCCTAATGATTCTGTGCCTTTTCTATGTTTACACGGCACACGGTAGACAAATCAAATACCGCTTATTGCTTTGAACCAACCATAATACTTTGTTATACGATTGCTATCTTGAGCTAAACCTGTGATCCCCTTCTCTGCTAAAGTAGAATCTTGTTTGACTAAATCATATTACCTGCTAGAATCGCCCATAGAAACCATCGTCGCCTTTCATAACATCACAGCACAGTATTCAAAAAAACGCTCTAAAGATAACCAAAACCAAAACACATACCATGAATCTATTCCAAACCCAACCACCTCCCCCC